TGGGGATGCATCCACAGTCTATATGACGTTAATGTGGCATTAAATGATATGTGAAATTAAATAAGTCATTTAATTTCACATATCATTTAACCAATCATTTACATCCACATAGACTGGGGTTTCATTCCCACTGGGGATGAATAACATTTTTTTTCATAAAAACACTTCTAAAAAGTGTTTATATATAATTATCATGTATTCTTGTCCGGCTTATGTTTATAAAATGTTTAGAATAAGTTAAACCACTTTGTATGCACATATTTTTCGGGACTTACTAGTATTCATTTTCATTTGTTTATAATTTAAACGGTTTATAAACATTTCTCAAATAGGCGCTAATATGTGAACCAAAGGAACCGGACCACAATAATCAGAACCAAGTAGTTTGGTCTATCTCTAACTAAAAATAAATAAATTCTTTGCTAGAGGAAGCTCTTTGCCTGAGGAATGGCTATTTTTCGCACTCTTGGGATGGGATTTTCTCTTTTCAATTTTATCCAAGAACCAAAAGCTTCTCGCATCTTGAAGTTTAGACCTTGTTTGGCAGCGACAAATCAAATTTTAGATAAAAGTTATTGAAATGCATGGTTGAAAAAGTTGATAAAAATCGTGAATCCCATGTTTGGCTAAATTTAATTGGCTTTGACTTGGATTTTTATTGACTTTTTAAGCCACACGAACATGGGCTCAATACTGATCACCATGCAGAACTTTGATTAAGCAAACTGTGATTTTACACGTAACATCCCTTGTGTGATTGATGATAATAAACACTTCAAACCACTTTTTATTCACATGTTTCGTTGGACTCACAATCTGTTCTTTTACCATTCATCTTCAATGGCTTGAACACTTGCAAAACGCTGGCCTATTAGTATTATTGGCTCCATCTCAGTTTGAGATGCTTTTTGGACTCCATGCAAATAGCTATAGTGGATTAATCAAACCTTAATCAAGTTTGAAATTGGAAATTTTGAAATTTGGTTTGAAAAAAATAAGATTGATATTGAAAGGTAACAACATATCAATATCCACATATTGGCGTAAGAATGATATTGAAAGTCAAGAGAACTCATTAACAGCTCCTTTGGATGAAAACCATCCATAAGGATGAG